TGTTATTTGTCATTTTGCTGCTTTTTTGAAAATACCATTTTGCCTTCTGATCAATACATGGCCAATATTCAGTACAATTTTGCTGGAAAACTTTTTCCGTTTAAAAACTTTTTACCTGCTTCTTTGTGGTACCAACTTGGGTTTAAGTGTTTTTCAATCGATTCACTCAACAAAATTTTATTGTCCGTGTTTTAATCCTAAAATTGGTCTGTGGGTGGTTTAAGTAGTTAAATGGCTAGGTCGCGCAGTAGGTCTTCGGTTGACCGGCGCCGGTCTAGACATCGGCGCTATCGCTCCCCATCAAGGGACAGACGAAAAAGGGATCGGGATCGCGACCGCTCTTATAGACCCAGTGATCGTCCACCTCGAAATAGCAATCGATCCGAGCATCGGCGAAAGTAAGATAGGTCAACATCGCGTATTAATCATTGCAGGCGCGACAGCTCTTCATCTCCATCAAATGATAATGAAAAAAGACTAAAGAAGTCACATTTAAGAGACATTGATAGAAAAATTCGGGAAGCTAGGAAAAAGGAGGAATACGAGAAAAGAATGCAGGAGATGAAGGAGAGGTTTGTTTCTTCTTAGCACGGCTTTATTGCGCTTCCCTGACAAGATTATGCATAACACATTGAGCCGCAGTGTAATTAGTTTTAGTTTGATTTCTAGCACAGTTTAAATGCTTGTTCTGTAGACGCCACAACCTCTCCTCATCCTTCACTTTAATGGATACGTTTATTTCCTTTTTGTCATGGTTCTCTTTCAGAGCTTCTGGCTCTCCTCTCTTACACATTTAAATCTCTTGGGTGATGTCTTTTTGCTCGTGGTTTGTTGATCATCTGTTGGGTTTTGTGTTTCTTCGTAGAGAGCAGCTATCATGCACTATCATCTATCCCAAGCATATTTTTAAATATGGTCTACCCACAAGACGTGGCAGTTAAATTTCACCGCTTGACTCATATGTCTTTTCGTTGCGGTGTGAAATCATATGACGGTCGGTGTGGCATAACTATCAGTGTGTTGGAGATACGTAAATTCGCTCGTGCCAGAAATGCCTTCCAAACGTAGTGTTGTGAATACTTATAAGTAAATGGACGATGTTAAGGTGTTCTGTCGGTTTGCAAAATGCATCTAGTGACAGACATCTGAATTTGGGAAATACGTTATTGCCTCCAATCGGGTGGATTTCGGGCATTAGGTGCAGATCAAGCAAATTCTTTATCAACTGAATTTAGAGCAGGTTAAGTTTGTCACAAGGAGTGCATTTTGCACGCTAATCACTTTTCCCATAAGCACTTATCTGGATGAAAAGTGGTCGAAAAGTACGCAGTATATGCCGAATCCTCCTGCACCTTTTCGTTATTTTTGTCTTAAGTGCTTTCATGTATCTTCAAAACATCAACAAAGAACACTTGCTTTTTTCTCCGGCCTTTTTAGTGATGTGTTCCATTACATTATTGGTCCCTTTGTTTAATGTGCACTATGTTGGTCAGACACGATCAATTCCCATCTCCCACAGTAATCACTCGTCACCCCTAAGCTTAAGCTTTCCTCGAAGTGATTGTGTTCCTTCCAGAGTGTAAAACTGATTGAATATGTGGCGCCCTGGACGCCCCCAAGATGTCATTTCAAGGCCTGTGGGTGTGCATAAGGTCATTCTATAATTCTCTGGCTACTTTAAAATTACCCCCTTAGGAGCATGTACCTAAATAGAAGTACTTTTGCCCCACAGTGTTTAATTTGGCTTTTCCGTTTCCTCGTTACAATCATCGTGATGTAAGGTTTGGTTTCGGTGTCAGCATGCATACACAAGGGACTGGAGGGGTCGCAACACACGGCAAGGCTCTATTTCGTCCGTTCCTCCTTCCAGAGAGTGTTGCAAACGGAAAAATTGGCTTATTTTATGGGCCATTTAAGTCGCACGTTGATTTGAGTTTATATAAGGAGAGAAGTTTTAAGGAATGGTAAACGTCATTTATTTAGCCGCGTAATCTTATGCTACAGCTAAATGCTCTTTTCAGTGTTTATGTAATGCATGGGAAGAGTTGTCACTGAGGCTGTGCCACCCCGGAAGAGCCTGCCCCATCCTGCCCCAGATTTTGTCACATCTAACGATGCGATTTAAAAAACCCGACGTTTGTAGCAGCGCTTCCCCACCTCCCCGCAATCTTAGACTCTGCCATGTCAATGAAAAGTTAAAAGCTCCACTTGTTCTCGTCGAAATCACAGGTGCTCATAAATTATTGTGCCAAACTTTCTCGCAGGAAAGTTTCCCCCTCGATCAATTTCATCACAAGTTGGGTGTTGATCAGGCGTTCCACTTGCCTGCTGAATGTTCGCACGACGTATCGCTGTTCTGCGAACTGGTGACGGGGTCGTCACTAACAAGCTTTAGTGCAATCATCTTTGTACCGTCGACACTTCTTAAATGCCTTACCACTTCAGCAGAACAACCTATCACCGTACTCTGCCAGCTCTGTCCCTCCTGTCATTGACATACGCTCCTGTGTTCAAGTACCCCTACCGACGCCTGCCATCTTTATTAACGGTGTCTACAATGGAACGCGATCTGTATATCGGCCATTACGAGCAGTAATGAGACGAAATTGGCATGGTGGCATTCCCTATTCAAGCCTGTGAAACTGGGTCTCAGTTTGAATTAAACAACCCTCTCATAAGCATGTAGAAGGAACTGATAGATCAACAGATCCTGAAGAGCCACGAAACGCATTGAAGGTCTCTTCTCGTTTCTCTCCCCCCCTCCCCTCTTGCTCTTTTGGAGACTATCCAGATCGGAAGTTACTATAAAACGACTAAATGAAATTTCCAGACTGTCTAGAAGAACGTTTCCTTCTAGAGAGCGTCGCGAGCAAGAGGAGCGAGAACGCGAGCTTGAAGCTGCACGCCAGTTGGAGGCGCGAGTGACCGAGGCCTTCGAGGCGGCCCTGGTCGATCGGGCGGCGGACCTGAAAACCGAGTTGGAGCGTCTCTACCAGGCGGAGTTGGAGAAACGTGTGCAGCAAAGGATGGAGGATATTGAACGCGAGATCCAGCGCGCGCATGAGGAGAAGAGGCGTGTTGAGGTGAGTGTCGGAAGGACGAGCTGTCTAATGTCGCATTGTCACTGTCCGGTACGAACAGTTTCCAGTTGTAAGTGTGGCTCTACTTCTTTGATCGCGCCTTTTGCGTTATCTTCGTGGACCCCACGAAATTCTCAAATCGGTTTTCGGTGAAGGGACTGCAGAATGTCTTTGTGGGCTATTTGCTATTGTAAAGTCAAATCTGCCTTCTGTTAACAGCTTGAAAAGGCTTCTCACTTACTTTCCTTACCCCAAAAAATCCCTTTCGCGCTCCGGAAACTCAAGAAGTTTATCCTTTTTTTCTCCATCAAAATGATGCGATGATTCCACATTCTCTCTCCCAAGAAGTGACATGGCAAGATTCGTTCCCTTCCAAATCGTTCTTTCTCATTGCTGGAGGGATTAATGACATTAATGTGGCTTGATTCAGGCTCCTTGTCAAAATACGTTTGACTATTTCCAAATACACTTCTCCCATGACTTGCTGGACTGAACACCTTATTGAAGGGTCAACTGAAATGACTTTGACCCTGTTTTGCGTACATCTTAGTGTCTGACGCTCTAGAAGTGCCAAAAGGTCTTTTCTAGTCATTTTTACGGTTTTATTTCATTCTGTGCTTTGAATAAGCGCCGATGTGGGATGTCAGAGTGCTACTTCGGAGTTCAAGACTCATTTCCACCTTCTTCCCACACTTGGAGAGGTACGAACTTGCTGCGAAGCTGTTTCAGTAGGCCACAGTAACAGCTCTGACTGCCTCAGCTTCTACTCCAACCCTGTTTACGGGTCGGGCCGTCTACTTTGCGCACTTGCCTGTGTGATTGGCGAGATGTGAGAGGAGAACGAGGCTGACAGTGAAGTAGTGCCTCCCTTTCACCTTCTCGCGGTCAAGTTTTGGGCTACGTGGTGTGAGGTCTTGCCTCGCTTTGTCACCGCTTTCTTCGCACTGGGTGTCTCGTCCCAACGACTATTCTTTCCCAGGAAGAAATTGTAGCTGCACACCCTCCAGATCTGTCGCACTAATTGGGTAGACCGGTTGCCTCTGTGGGAACTGGAGCAGTGTCTTGGAAGTGGGGATTGGGTGGTTGGAGTGTAAAAGCTACCTTTCGACACAAATCACTCATCGGGTCGGTGTAGAGTAAACCAACAATCCTTAAAGCCCCTTTTTACTCTATTACTCCCGTTCTAATCATCACGTCTTACCGGGATGCATCTACCTCCGCGCGATTGGTCACAAGGACCTCATTTCTTGACCGCGCACCTCAGGGTTAGGAATCTCTGTGAAGAGGGTGTGGATAGTCGCATGTGCCTTCCATGCCATGCCATGGGAGACCCTTCTGGTCCAGTGATCCGAAAATCGCTCTAGTTGAGTGTTTTACCCCTAACTATTGTCATTGACAAGGACGTTTCACGCAGAAATTTGCGAAAACTGGCGCCTAATCTCAATAAAAATGTGGATAATTTTGATTTAAACTTGCCTTACTGATCTTAAAACACTTGAGTTGATTTTCTGCGGTATTTTTGTAAATTCGAAAACTTATTTGGTTTTCAATACTAACGTATCTGTTAGGAGGAGGAAAGACGCAAGCAGGAGGAGTTGGAACGGATTCTTGAGGAGAACAATCGGAAACTCATGGAGGCCAGAAAACGTGAGGTAGGCCCGCTTGTGGGACAATATCAACACTCTTTCCTATCATTCCTTCTTCCCCTCCTTTTACCTTGTATTTACCTGGCAGGATGATTTTTTTGCCCTTTTGCCTCCTAGGATACCGCATTCCATGGCAAAAATACGTTTGACTGACCGGCAAAGATAGCGCTGTTTGTATGTATATATTTCAAATATATAGCCATAATTCACGATTTTTGACTTTTTTTCTACAAAGGGAAGAATTGGGGTAAGGGAGAGAGTGAGAGAGGCTACTCCATGTCTTCGAAGAGGCGGTCGAAGTCTGCCGCTCCAAAGTTGGCCACGATCTTTCGGCGTTTGGCTTGTAGGGCCTTTATATCACTCGTGGGCTACAATTGGCAAGGGAAGTATACGTTAGGAATCGGAGGATTCAACAGCTTTGGTGACGCACGGAGGTAACGTTTAACGGGAGAAATTGAGTTGTGTGAGGAAATTAGGGCGTCAAGTGTGGACACCTTTCCCAGTGAATATGCTTCAATCGAAGTGGTGCCACTTGTTTTTCAGAACCCGAAAAGCTGTTCTAATAACTTACGTGAATCCAAATAGTGGAGAGGATGTTAGAAATCTCATTTTCAACATCCCTTATGGGCACCTGAATGTCGTGAGACGAGAATCAGTTTTATTAACCTCATACCTTTAGTAGGGCGGAGACCCTATTTCGAAAGTCAGCATTAGTGCTCGTACGACATATCTCACTTAGAGAGTGTGCCGTCACGGATATTTGGTATTTCAGCTAAAAAATTAAAAATAATTGAGAACTTGCATCTTCCTCAGTAACAGGTTTCGGCATTCTTATTCCCGCTCTTTTGTTCATCTAAATTGGTAGTTTAAAAAAAAAGATTATTTTGAATAACCTCGCCAAAAATACTAAATTGGATGATAATTTAAAAGGTAAGGGTGCCAATCAAATGCTTAACGACTAGATTTGACGTGTTTCTATTTGCATGTGTAGGCAAAGTCGTACTGTATACTTCAACAAATCCCACACAAGCGTTTGGTTAAACAAACTGTAGGGCAATGGGTTTCTCTAAAGGCAGAAAAAATTCAGAACTCGAGCAGAGTATATGTATACTAGCATGCACTGAGGCCTGGAATTAGTGGCATTGCCCAGAGGCCAGCCCACCAGCCAAAGCGGTCCTTTTATCAATTCCTAGAGTTATACGACCAACGTATTCCACAATCTTCGTACCTAAAGTCCTTTATAAACTGTCTTGTAATTTTGAAACACAACGCGAAATCGTGTCTCAAACATCATCATTTTTTTGTAATATGACAGCCTTCATCCAAAAAATAGAACACTTGAATCAAGATAAGGTATTTATTATTTCTAATGGATTTGTTAAGGAGTTAGGTAGCCTTAAACTCTGTTAGGCTGTAAGGAATCTTAAGCATTGGCAAGTTGTACTCCTGCTGTAGGATATGGCCTCCTGACCATGTCGGCGGACTCCTAATTACAAGTAGGGACGGATAGAGCCGATTGAAAATAATATTTATTCAAAGTGCTGCACTGACCCCTGCATCCACTGCAGGTAGCTGCGATGGCACACCTTCTCAATAAAATGGTTTGAATATGATTTGAATTTATTAGTCATCCCAGTTCCATATTTTGCAAGATATGGAGCTAAATTTGAACCGGCAGCGTTAGTTATATGCGGATGTTAATCATGTGAGCAAATAGCACATCCTTTTTTGTCGCTACTGGGTGAAGGAATTCTAGTTAAACGGGATAAACAAACCTAAAGCAAGAATTCAGAAGCAAGAGGAAACCTACTTAAGGCATTGCCTCTCTGAAGAGAATAACGTTTGGTTTTGTCTTAGGCAAAAGGCACTGGTTTCAGAGCATTGACTTAGCCGTTAACAACTATTAAATCCACCTACTCATCGCATAATTTAAAAGCACACTGGCGTTGGGATCAAAATTACTGTCGCTCGCATGAGAAGTAGATTACCATTGCATCTGATGTGTAGTTGGATTTTGCAGCATAAACCAAGTTGTGCCCCATAAACACCATCATCCTCCGGTGGTATCACCAAACTCTTATAATTTTCGTGCATAAATAATTTGTCTTTCCCTCATTTATGTCACTTTTTTTGCAACCACAGGAGAGATTTGCGGTGTTACAAAAGATAGGTTGCTTTGTTTATTTAAAAACTGCAACAAATTATTTTCACCGAGGTAAAATATTCAGCCACCATTCTGCCTCTAGAAAATTAACTGATCTACTAAGAAGTAGCTCTGTTTTTAGGCGTACGAGATGCTCTAGTCGAAGCATAGTCTCAACCAAATGAATTTTTATATGCAAGAAGATTGATGACTAATTTCCCCTATTCATGAGTGGCTTTGAAGCGCCGACTGTCTTGTGATGATCGATGCCGGAGATTTCACGATTCCGTGCATTAAAAAATGCCAATCAAAAAGTTATCTTATTTACCTAAATGTGTGGCAGATTATGCGATTACTGCAGTTACTTGATTCTGTGCTCCGACTCTATGGTGGAGACTTTGGAAAAATTTAGCATAGTGAAACATGTATTACTACCCACAAAAAGCAAATGATTTTCATTTGTTTAATAATCACGCTATGTTGCAAAGCTGCAAACCAAGAAGATCTAATTGCGCGTATGATCAAAACAAGCATTAAAAATTGTAAAGCACTGTTTCAGCGGCTACTGCCCTTTATACGTTAATAACACATGTTCTGTTCTGCTCGTATGGCTAACAAATGTAATGCTTATAATTCAAAACGCTTCTATTAGGTTTTAATTTAAGTCATACATGTTTTGGGTCTGCCCTATTTCCTAGTCTCACAATTAATGATTTTGGCTTGTAAACCAAGTTTCTGGAGATTGTTGTAAAATTCTTTATTAAGCGACTTGTTCTATTCAATTTTGTATCTGGACTTTCTTGACCTCTTGGTATTTTGTTATAGTGCACAAACCAAAATTACTTAACTACTGCCTGATTTGGAATACGGGGTAAATGATGTGATTTTGTGATAATTGGATTATGGAATCCTTCAAAATGGTCGCACGTGTCTTCCCCAACCGCATTTCAAAATTTACTTGTGATCACGAATACATTTCGTCTGGGTAATATGGGTCTTCACTTATTGTTAGCCATTATCCTAAAGAGACTGAATTTTTAAGGCTCGTTATCGATAGGCTTGGCCGGGAGTCAGCTGAGGTAAGGTTTTCTGTTTCATCTATTTACAATTAATACACTGTTTAGGCTCAATCGTTGCCGAGTATAGTAACAAGTTTACACAAACTGCGGTACACAAATCATCGATGCTATGTACTTACATGCACTGACAAAGGTGATCAAAGGTAGGGATTGTTCACTTCCCTAACTGTTAGTTCCAAAATTCCAATAGGTCTGTTAAAGGTTGGGAAAAAGAAGCTTTTCCTTTTTAATTCATTTGGGGAGTGTTTTGAAGTAGAACCAGTTTGTGTCCTGGATTTCTACGTGTCAGCAGATTTTCAGCGTCGAGGCTACGGAAAAGAGCTTTTTGAAGGGATGCTTCAGGTATGTCGGATGAAATAATTTTGCAAACCCATTTTACTCACTGCTTTTCAGGCGAGATTAAGTAGTTTATAAACTTAAAGTTAGGCATTATAACGAAGTAAACCGCTGGCGTTTGCGCGTTTTTTGCTTTCCCGAGAGAGATATTCTGAAAGAAATGGTGGTTTCCCTCAAATAATGCACAAATTTAACTACAAAAAATATCTGTACCGGTGTGATAAATGTCTGACATTGTTCTTTTACTCTTTTTTTCGAAATAGGAGGAGGGTTTAGTGGCCACCGATCTACCAATAGATTCTCCCTCTCCGAAGATGCTCTCTTTCATGAAAAAGCACTACAATCAAGACCACCCCCTTCGCCAATCCAACAACTTCGTAGTCTTTCCTGAATTCTTCCATCATGTCGATGCATTTCTTGTTCCACGTTATAGACGTTCACGCAGTCCCCTTCACTCTGCGTTCCCCATACCAACTCGTTGCTCCTCAGTCTCTACTCTTCCAGCGCCAGTCGTGGAAGCTAAGCGACCACCTTCTTCCCCCTCCTCGCGCATAGTTCAACGCTGCTCGTCACTTTCGTTGCGCGCGACACCAGATCTGGAAGCACGTCCAGAACCCACTCCAAAAGGCGATGTCAAGTCGTCTCCAAGTGTTCCAAAAGCGCTGGAGAAGTCTGCAGTTCAAGTTCATATACCGCAATTAAGGAGTCGAGGTGAAAGTGGATTCCTGAGGCAGGGACCAGCCTTGCGATATTCCAAGCGGCTTGTGTAAGGCCTAGTCATTAATGGCTGTGTGCATAAAGTCAACGAGGTATTCTAATTAGATCCTCCCCCTGTTTTGCATTTTCAGGGCAACGACACCTTCAATGTTGTTCAGAGGCCATGCAGACTTCTCAAGTACTGATATTAATACGCTTTGGCGGTTGAATGAAAGGCAAGCGAGATATAACTATCAAAGAGCTGCGTGGGCTAACAATAGACACACGCGACTCTGGTGATCTACGCCGACAACCGTGAATTGTCGCTATGGTAGCGGGATAGTAGCCGTTAATTATTACCACATTGTTTCCCCCTTGGCTGTGACGGTTGTAGGCTGCGCAAAAACCATAATTTTGGTTTTATGAAGCTACTTAGTCTCAGTTGTATTTATTCATATGATTGAATAAAAGAAGGGCGGTTAGGGGGTTGGTTCTATTTTTTTTTCGAGGGTGAGGGGGGGGTTGGGTGTGGGCGTTCGAGATATGTGGAACCCAGTAGCATAATCGAAAACCCGTCCAGAGTTTCACTTGCGCCGTCCGGTGTATTCTCAGGAAGCGCTAAAATTACTTGTCAAAAATCAGTTTCATTTTTCCCGGTTGGGGCGAATAGGTGTGGAAGACGATATAGCACCGAAACGATGCGCTAGCAAAAGGTGAGCTCCTAGCATTACTGTAATACGATAGTGGTTTATCCCTCGGTACTGGTGAGGCGCCACTTCTGCACTTTGAATCAGCCCCCCTTGTACCTCGTTGGGTGGGCTGGTCCTTTGGGCCATGCCAATAGCCCAGACACCTTCTCTGCGCTGAATATATATTCTGCCCGAGTATTTGTCTTCTTTCGTCTTCAGGGAGTCTCGGGACGCTACATTACGGTCGAAAGGTGCTCATAGTTGCAAGTGCGTTGTTCACTGTATACGAAGGAGGTACAGAATTGCCAAAGTTTACTAAGTAAAGGCTTTTGATAAAGTATAAAACAGTGTGAATTAATGATTGGTGAATGGAGAAAATATTAATTTAGGCTTTAACTTGATAGGGTAGAAGGACTGATATTCAGATTCGTAAATTACTAACGACACACACAGGATAGTAAGAGAAACTAAAAGTTGCTTTGCACTGGTATATTTAAGCTATCATTTTGTTAGCATATTGATATGATGGACAATCATTCAAGTGGGCTAGAATATTGCGCTTCAGCTTTTTAGGTATGACATGGTTACTTGCGAAACGGAGATAACTACTGCATATGGCCCTAATTCTGTTTCAGTTGGTCCATATTTAATCTCCTTCTCCTTTTGTTAGCGCAGAATTATATTATTCTCCTTTTCGAATGCTAATTGGTTTACTTTCGCTAGGCCGTCATTTTTTTAATCCAAATGGCCACTGTGTCTTCTGTTCGAACTCGAAAATTGTTGGATAGGGTACTCCGAGTTGATCATGCTAAGGGGTTAGCAGCAAAATATATGTATAAAGGACAACTGGCTGTCTTAACTAGTAAGCATATCAGAAACACCATAGAGGTTAGTGCATTTTCGTCTTTTTATTGAATGAAACTTGTGGACTATGAGATACTTATTTCTTGTTAATAATCTAGCAAAATCTCACTCGGGAGAACTTAAGCATATCAAGGTTTGAAAAACTCATTCCTCTTAACCGTGCTCGACCATCTCTGCTGATGCCGCTATGGAAAACAGCAGGTTTCGCTTTTGGTATCGCTACTGCACTTTTCGGTGAAGCAGCTGTCTTAACATGTAAATCTGCTATCGAAGTTGCCATCGGTGAACATTACAATCACCAAATTCGTGAGCTACTTGCCGACGATCCAGTCTCACATGCGGAGCTCCTGGAGGTAATCATTCATACTCCCAATTTTGCAGTTTTTGAATTGAACGAAGCCCCTAGGTGCTCATGGCATCTGATCATCTTTTGAATCTTAAGCCTTTAAGACCCCAAACCTATGGGTGATGCGTAAATTTGATGCCTGTTCACCTTTCTTTCTATTCGTCAGATCCTGAAAGAATTCCGTGACAGAGACCTTGACCAACATGATCTCTTGCGTGAAAACGTTTCTGATTTAGTAAGTTGCACTATATTAACCTAATCCTTTGCCCTCCTTGTCCAAAAGGTGATTTCTCTTCCTTCACTTTTTAGCCACCTTTCCACCGCCAGCTGAATCAGTTCGTGAAGTTCGCTACTCTGGCTAGCATCAAAGTGACCGAGAGAATCTGACCTGACCATCATCCAGGAAAACAGATATTCAATCATCCAGTTTTTCATCTAATGGGAAGAATTTCCATAATACGTGTTCCTTACAAAGATTTCTCTACAGATGGTTGGTGAATCTGTGGAAGTTTGTTATAGACCGGTCAAGAGTTCTCTTTCCGGTGTCTAATAATTTTGGGTTTTTCAACGTGACGCAGCACAGCAAATGGGGCCGTGAACAATTGCTTGCTAGGAAAATAAGTGACGTCTGACACTTCACGTCTCATGACGGTGCCATTTTTCGGTAAGTAGCTGACAAAATCGGGCTGCCTAGTTGCTCGGAGCGGGTCCGCTTGCCGCTACTGTCTGTGCTGCACCCCTCCGACTTCTCGATTGCATACCCATAGGCATACCTCTGGTGGTATACGGAGTGGTCGGATGGCTTTCGGAACCAGCCTTGGAGCATTAACCGCGGAAACAGGGCTAAATAATGAAACCGGTCTTGTGGTACTCCACAAACTAAGTCAAAATGTTGGTTGTATAGATTTCTTTAATTAACCTCTTGCATACTTTACGTATCCACTCATTTATCTCTGGCTTCTTGAACAGTGAGACCAAGAGCCTCCTGGGTCCTGAACCACGCGAGTTGGTTATTGTTTCAAGCACCAATCCGCGATCATTATCCCGAGCTGCATCACTGTGATTCCATCTTCAAGGGCTGGGAGGGGGCAGGAAGGGGAGCTTCCGCTCAGTGACACCTCTTAATTGATAACGTCGAGTGGAATGGTCAAACAGTGACACCCAACTCGGTCAGTACTGTAGCTTTCAGCAGAGATTAAATTGTTGCCATGGACGACAGAAAGTCTCTTCGCGATTCAGGAAAAGGAGGTATATATTTCCCCTCCTTGACTTTTTTGTAAAATAAAAAAGTATCAACTTCCGAACGTTAACCAGCCCATCTAACAAAATTTTCACCTAGGGGCATGTACTACTAATTTATTTGTCAGTAGAAATGAAGTTGTTTGGCACAGGTGAGAGAAGTAAGCTGGCGTGTATGGCGGCGGCAAGTTTCAATGAACGCAGTCAAACATCGGTTAGGCGCGGGATGACAAGCTAGAAAAGGGCTGAGGGAGCAAATAAGGAAGAGTCTGGAGGATGGACAGAAAGGACGCGGAGAGGCCATATTAACCATGGCCTCTGTAAATGCTGACGCTATTCACAGGTACGTACGTTGAAGATGGATGTGTGTGGAGGGGTATAAACAATAACGAATGATATGTGCTCTTCCATCTCTCCCACTACCTGTGCTGATTGGGTGATATTTACACCAGATGTGAAGGAAGGGGTCAGGTGGGGACGGGAGTAGAGATGCGCATCTTTAAACAGGTTTAGTCGGACCGGCGGGTTGGAAGTATCCTTGATTATCCACCAAGTAATCGGGATTTCCAACGGCATTGAAACCTCCCGACCGTTTTTTGCCATCGGCTTCAAGGAAGAAGTGAGAAAATATCTCAAAGTCGATTGTATGGGGGTAAAAAAACTCCAGATGATGGTGTGGCGCATTGAGGCTACCCCCAGTGACAGTTCAGACGCTACCTTGAGGCTGCAAACCTCACATTTGAAGAAACTTTCAACAACCTACCACTTGCTCTCGGTTCCAGGTAGTCTTCTGGCTGCAACGATTGTTCCCCTCCACCCGCTCCCTCAACACCGTCCATAGACATCTCGAGAGTGGAAAGGTAGTTAATCTCAGCGTCTTTAATCCCACTACCCATCGTGTCTAAGTCATCATCACGCTCCACTTGTGCGAGGGGTGGTGGCGCTGGCGGTGGTGATGGTGGTCTAACAAGGGGTCCGTAAGTGCCACTGGCCAGAAAAGCGGTGTTGTAGTATTTCGGTTGTTGTTGCTGGTTTTGATTATGCTCTACATGAAGAAGACACCAGAGAGATGATTGACTAAGGCATCGTGGACTAGATACTGAGCTGATTGACTAGGTGGACCATAAAGCTGTGGCTGAATGGATCGCCTCATTGTCAAAGAAGGAGGATTTAAGAATTTAAAATTCAACTTTTCTACACTGTCAACGACAGTCTTAAACGAACCTAAGACAGGAAAGGCGGCATTCGATCCCATCCCGCTTCCAGTTGGCCACGAGTCCAAATTCGTCGAGACCACGGAAGTGTTTGTCGATGCACCACCACCAGCAGCCGGAGCACGCTCCTGTCGCCCGCTTTGTCGCATTCTCGTCTCATTTGAGTGGGAAAAAAATCGGCGATGATGATGATGATGATGATCGTTGCCAGCTCTCTGTGGAAGAAGAGATTCTGCCTCCGGGTTGCCACTGCCCTCTCCCATCGTCTCTCCCAGAAGGTGGCGTTGATGATCATCGAAGAAGTGCTCTTCAGGGAACCTAAAGGCATACCCTGTCCCGTTGGGTGGCCCCAAGGTGCCGTCTGGTACGCCCCGGAAACTACTCGGCAGCGGTTTCATCTCGGTCCAAGGAGCCGGTGAAGGGGTGTACGGAGAGGCACGAGTTATCGCATACTCATCGCCCTAAAGCACGGTAGAGTAAGTGAAGGCGTTCTCAAAATGTCTGGCCCAACAATAGACCCTAAGGCTAGGGAGTGAACTAGTTGTGCGACTGCTTCTTCATCCCTCCTCCTGGATGCGGTGGAGGATTTTATCAAAGAGCGCAGCAGTCTCAACATCACCCAAGAAAGGCAGATTGAATTACCTCGATGTACAAGTATCTGCCCGGCGTTTGACAGTACTTGTGGAAACATTTCATCAGCTCTAAGAAAGTCGGCCTGGATTCGTGTTCTTCCATCCAGCCTAGAGCAGTAAATAGGGCCTTAATAAGATCGACTGGCAAGGAAAAAGCATTTCATACATGAGGTGGACGGGGGAGGGGGGGAGGCGCGACTTACATTGCACCATCACCATGTAGGTATCAAGCGTACAAATTTCCGGCTGACTCAGCCGCACTCCCTTCATTACATGATCCTTAATCTCCGAGGTGCTTATATTTTCGTAGGGTTGTTTGCCAAATGTGAAAATCTCCCACAGCGTCACACCTGCATTCAAAAACACATGAGAGTTTTACTTAAATGTAATAAGTAGAAACATAAGAAAAATGTAGATGAAATGGGGATTTTCATTACCGTAGCTCCAGACATCGGTTTTGTGAGAGTAGATGCCAGCTTGAAGCGTCTCAATAGCCAACCAACGAATTGGAACACGTCCAGTGCGAACTACAACGCTGTCCTCGTCGTTGGTGTCCAACATTTTAGCCAATCCGAAGTCGGTTATTTGCACCAGTTCCCGGGACTGAACAAGCACGTTTCTTGCGGCCAAATCACTGCGGACGTTGTGGTGGAAAGACATTTAATGAGGATTAATGACCTAGTCATTCGACAGCCTTCAGCTCATGAAGGATAAAAATGGGAAGGCTTGAAATTAATCAAAGTTACGGGCCAAGAAGGAGGGAGAGGGTAATGGAAGTGGGATGGCGTTAAGTCAGGACTAAATTGAAAAAAACTGACAGACTGTTTGAGTGATGGTTTTTAATTTCTGTCTCCCAAAAGAGCGCCGAGACTGACACTCGCAAATAAGAAGGCTAGAGCTACACGGTAGAATGATATTTGTTGTAGCTGCGCTAGCCTTATCATTCTCCCACGACGATACGGTCGCTGTGAGGTGCCGCAAGCGACTTTTCCCACACTCCTACTGGCGTCGGGTGACCAAAGGTGTTTTCACGACATGGGTTGCCTCAAGTGCCTGCCGGAACTTGTGAACTCTTGTGGCTCTTGAAAGTTATATTTTGGCGCGTAAGTGTCTGTCAGTCTACTGGTACGATACTCTTTGTTGTCTCCGGTATTACTTGCTGGTTTTTCTGCAGCGCCACTCCATAAAGCGGTGGTTACAGTTGATGAAAGTGATTCAAGCTTGTCCACCTAATAAATCATGTTTAACTTGGTTCCAAGGTAGCAGAAATTCTCAAACAAATTTGTCGTAAAGCACTCAATTCCGGTGGTGAAACAGTTGAAGGATGGATGTATCTGGGTCTCAACGACCATCGCAATTCGTGAATGTCACTGGTGGCACCTTAAATTAAGGTCAAATGCCATTAACGGGTGCTGTGCTTAGATGGTTTGACAACTGACATGTGATGAGTAATGGATTCTGCCTCCCAAAGTTATCTCCAAGCCATTCACTAGGGTGCACGCCACGTCATCCCCTGCAAGCTGTGCATGCAGAATGGTCACCACGAATTTCCTGCCATGATGACCAAATGAATGCGATCGAAATCTGTCTGGTCGACACGATACAACTCGGGAAAGTGTTCACTTCTTCTAGGGAGAAAGACACCCCCTCGTGTTCATCCTCTACATTTACATCATATTTGTACCAGTAACTGAATGAGGAATAGATTAGACGATTTGGAGGGACCAGGGATATGCCGTTTTGCCACCGCTCACATTGTAACTCAGTCTACTTAATATCTCATTTAAGTAGTTTCGGAGAGGACAAGATTCAAAAGATAAGGGTTTTGGATAGAATTTCAACATTTTATGGATGATTTTCAGAACAACACTAGCTAAAGCATTCAAAAACTCTAAAGTCCGATTCATTTATTTAGAAATGGCAAAAGGAGGTCTACTTGAATTGGATATTAAAACAACGTGTGCAGCCCAAACCTTGTCATGCCGACATTCCTCTAGGAAGTTGCTACTTCTTTTACTTGATTATTTTATTTGCGATGTAGGCTTAACTTTCCGCCAGGTCCTTTTTTTCCCTACCGAAATAGAAGGCTGTTTATAGACTTCCGTACTACCGCAACTCACCGATGAATAATCCCACGTTCCTCTAAGTAGGCCATCCCGTCAGCAATCTGTTCCGCCCATGAAAGCAAGGTGAAACTATTCAAGTCGTCCTTGTGGAGGCGTAGGTAACGATCCAGACTGCCCTCCTCCACAAACATCGACACCATGCATTGCATTTTCCGGGTCAAACAGACACCAATGAGGGGCAGACAATTCTTATGCTGCACCGAGGCCATTACCTACAAAATTCGCATTGAAGAAGGCCAAGAGAAGTAGGCTCCAGCTATCAGATGTCTTTCTGCTAGCCGTGTTTATACTACTTAAGGTAGATTCTCAGTAGAGGAGGGAAGCAAGAACCACTAAACTTGTTGCAAATTCAGAATTTCAGAAAAGTGGGGAAAACCAGCTTCTATCCTTCATCCAAAGGACAGGAAAACGAACGCAACACAACAGGGCCCTATTCTATCACTGGAAAATAGGGAGTGTACTTTAAAATTGCCCAAAGGCCAAGGCTTGAATTACAGGGGTCATTAACTAGGTAGTAGATTTTCCCAAAAATCCAGTAGCCAATGGCAACTCTTCTTATTTTCAAGCAGAAAAAAGACATTTGTGCTTTAATTAAGAACTATAAAGTGGTATACGTCATCCCCTCTTTTAGCTAAAAGCGGACTTGTCTACTGGCGTAATGCAAGAGTCCAAAAGTGGGCCAAATGGACATGGTATAATGGTACGAATAATGCATTAAAAGCTGCTCGGATCGGTGTTGTTCATAAGTACATCCCCGATTCGCTGTAGAGCCTTTTTGGCTCCGGCAGTGAATGATATTAATCCACCAGTGGATGTGTGTTTCTCACGACTGAAAGAATGTAGCGTCCCACGGACTGCCTTTGGGTGAAGCTCGCAACGAAATGTGACAACTACAAGGGCTAAGTAAAATGGTTGAAATGTCAACGGCAAGGGTCATCAACGTGGGCGTATTTTTGGCTGCTACCTTTTACCTTGAAAGGGCAAAAATAGATTTAATGCTTCGCTTAAAGTGTAGTCCTATTTTAGATCAAGAATTTATTTACTTCCGAGCCAAATTTCCGTGAGTCACAGTCATATTCCGGAAGGCAATCCAACAGAGGTGAAAAGTAATGCGCTTTTTTAAACATGCCATTGTCTACTTTAGTTTTGTACACTTTGATTTAACCTTTTAAGGTTGCATAAAACCCATGAAATAGGCTGACGAACCGGGAATGCAAAGCCGTTAGTAGTGAGTTGGAAGGAGCTTTGGCTGGTACTACGGGTGAGCAATAGGAAAAATGCAAACATTTCATGCTGGTTTAACATTTACACTGATTCATGAACTATGTGTATGAAGTCGTTGGGCCTACTTTTAACGGCAGGAAGCGTAACATGGGGTAGTTATCTACGGGGCAGTTGTGTTAGAAAGACCCATAAACCCGCATGCATTTTTGCCTAATTAGAAGTTCAGTTGTTTCTTCATAGTAAGCAAGAAAAGCTGCTTGAAAATTATAGAGTAAAACAAAATTTCGGCCAAATTTTAGTTTTTATATACGTATTTCACAAAATTTAGCATAGGATTACTTTCAGATGAAAGTAGGATACCAAGGTTGTTGATTGTTTAAGTGGATCAGATGGGGTACACAGATGCCAGACCAGAGAAAGTGATGACATTTGATTACAAATGGCATGCTATTTTAAGGACTTCCAACATGAGAAGTGGTACATAAATTCACCGGCTAAATGAATTCACATCGCTGACGTTTAACGTAGGAGTAATTGGTAACTAAGGTAGAGCCTAATAGTCATTAAAGATAGGCAACTAAGGGGAAAATTTGAAAGACAACTTACTTTAATTAAACTCTTCGGTCTTGTAAAAACGAAATCCCTTTTAAATCTCACGGCTTATTTCAAAAATGAGTTTTCTCCTAACAGGGAGAAACGAATGCCAAGCCCTGGGATAAGAGGGCTACTAGTCATGAACCTTACTGTGTTCAGAGTAGACAAACACCTGGAGGGATGGATCTCCTGGAAGTTTCGTGCCATTACTTCTCTTGCCTAACTCTGTTGATTTTAACGCATGAAAATATCAAGTAGATAGGGCTTTCATTAGGAATGAGATACTGACAAGTAAGGTCATTGGTAGTTACCTTGGCTTCCGTGAGCATATCCTGGAGATTACTTCTAGCGGAGATGCGATCAATGGTGTTGGCGCCCAGCTGAGAGCTTGCAACGGTGCTGACATTGCTGTCTAATCCAGAGGCACCGAGATTTGACGCAGCACCACCTTGAGCTGTGGGTGCAGCTGATCTAATCACTTTGATAGCCACATCCAGCGAAGTGTTCCGTGCCCAATTGAACTGATTCAACACTCGCTTCGGTACTCGCCACTTGCCTCGATACACCTCACCAAATGCCCCTCTGCCGATGGGATTGTTGGCATCGTCGAAAGTCAAGTCATCAATGTTGATCATCTCCCAACGGCCCATATTTGGTTCCCTGCTTGATTTTGCGTCCTGCAGCGTGAGAAAGGAAAGTTGTGCTGTAGCTTCAGTTCACCACTTGACCATTCTGGCTCTAGCAGTGGTAGCTCGAGTCTCCACCCGACTTTATTCAACAAATATTATTCCACAATCAGAGATGAAGTAGTACTGCGATCAGAAAGTAACAGAAATATTTGCTTTTTTTCCTTATCTGATCTAGGTGTCAGATATGCGTGACACATGTTCCTTATCATTGCTAACTGTTCAAACTTTTATGACGTAAGCAGACTGGCGGAGTTTGGAGCAATAAAGTGGGATGTGGGAATGTTTATGGTGTGGGAAAAATGACACTTTTAGCGTTTACGGTGTTACAAAAACATCATACATTTGGGCCGTAGTGGGATGATTTGCCCCTCTGATCCAGATAGTTGTATTAATTAATTCGCCTCACTGGGGCACCTAGCCAGTCCAACAGTGAGCTTTGAAATTGGACACTTCGGGCCTGTAGTCAGCATTTATGACCGCCACGACGACGAAGCATCAACAGGTGCAGCAATTCCCATCAACAAGGTGGACACAAAGGCCACCAACATTATCGCCTAATAACGGCACAAAAACTCGCCTCCCTTCACTGCCTAGGGGAGCTAAAGACACCTCTGAATCGACTCTAATGTGCTCCTTCAACGAACCGGAGGGTGACTAAGGCAAGAAAAAAGGGAGAATGGATCTGATTCACTCCCGCCCCAGAGTTCGGCGCATCAAATTTCCCTCAGGTAAGTGTTAATTAGTTAGGTACAAATCAAGATCTGGGGGCATTGCCTAGTGCAAAGTCCCATTCGCATATTTTGGGGCTGGGAGAATTCGGAGCCCTCCTTTTTGTGCTCGACGGCCGACTGTCAACCTTCGCATTAAAAATGCAGATTTAGTAGCGAAAATGGGAGGATATTTTTAACCCAAAAGTTTATGCTTCACCATGGCAACGGAACGGACGAAAGATAGTTGAATAATCAAGATCAACAGACGCACAAATTATAAAGCATGCTAAATTACCTTTTATACGTCTTATAAAAAGAAATCTTGCTTTTTTTTGAAAAAGCTTCATTCACTCATTGTTTAGTGCATCCAGGCAACAGAATTTGACGTAATTGAGATACAAGTTTTTGAAATTTAAGTTAGCTTAAATCAAACAACGGGAACAAAATTCCAAACACCTACAACCGCATACATAGTATGAGTTGAAACACCACAAAAATGTTGAAGACGACATGTAGAATTTGTGGATAGACGAATGGTGAGGTAGATAGGTAGACAGATAGATGGATTGCTAGATAGAGAGACGGATGGATGGGATGGGATGGGTAGATGGATGAGCAAATGGATAGAGCTAGATGGATAGGTGGCCACTGAGGTGGAGGGGTAGGTGTAAGGACACCAGGCTCGCTAGAAAGGAAAACTAATTGGCCATAACCTCGTCAATTGCTTTCGGAATTTTGACTAGTTGTGGACTTAAATTATAAAACCATCTTGGGAGGTAATAAACTGCGTGAAATATTCCCCTTTTTAAATATCATCACCCCCCCCCCCTATTTCCAATTACCACTATGTGCTGATATGTGTCTCCACCTTAGGTGAACAAATGCCCACACAGCAAGAGCTATGCATTGCAAACGGCCCACTTTTTTGCCCTGTCATCGAGGTAAATGCGCTTTTATGACCATTAAAATAGGCAAAAAATTACCGAGAAAATCAAAACGGAGAATAGGATGGACAAAAAACACTCTGGTCTTATCTGAAACAGAGAGGTTAAACTGCACAAGTGGACGAGTTTTCACCAAGCCATCCAAGAATGGGGTTACTGGATAACGCCGGCTATGCATTCGATGGTGGTCCTCCACTCGGTCTTTCCTGGCTCTCCACTTCAGTATTGCATACTTTGCCATTTGGCGGTGAGTGTTAGTGCGCGGGAGCAAACATTTTTACCCAGCAAGAATATCACAAATCACTTTAGCTGCCTATGTTATAAAATCGCGCGCTAAAAGACTAATTTTTCAACCTTCGGCAGCCAGCAAAACACGAAATCGTGTTTTATGGACCATATTGGGACCAAACCAGATCTGAGCGCATTAAGATGTGTGGATTGAAAGAGAAACTCAGCTCTTCTACATTCTAAGCATGTATAGCTGGATAGCACTGCAGTGGGGAGAACTTTCGGGGCTATCTTCCTGACAAATTCCCCTACGACTAGCAAAGGCTGTTGACTGGAGCACGTGACCGGATGGCATCTCGATAGAGTGTAGTGAAAAATCTTCGCACGACCTCCTTCCAAATCCCATCATTTGTTTGTACTTTATTCGAAAGTACACCAGCTTTGTACAAAGCATTAGGAAGGAGAAAGAATGGACTACCTTTTTCTCGGACAAAATTAGGTCAAATTTTCCACCCAACCGCACATGAAACGCACCTCCACCAAAGTGTGACTATCCTGCAGGCTGCGAGCGAAGTAATAAAAATTGTTGTGGAGAGATGCCACTTCAAAGGTGAATGCTAAATCATTTCCTCCATTCACCGCCCACCTCCTCATCCCCTCCATTCTGTGGTGGTTTTGACCCGCCGCAAAACATTCACCCCAATTGACTACACTTGATTGACTGTACTTCATCTGACGGCAAAAATGATAATAAAAATAGATCCTATCAAAATCGTCGCCATGTCAGAGGTCTATGAGATCTTAAAGGGATTAATTAATCATTTCAGGAGGGGATCACTCCCTTGCTTATAAACATACTTGTTTTCCCTGCGCGCAACTATCCTGCCTCTGAAGATGCGGCAAAACCTCTTCAAAGTTCGTATTCCTTATATCGTGATAGTGTTACTGAGTTTCGCTAATTAGACACTGCACCACAAAGTCACAGGCGAGCGACCGTTGCAGACAACTCAATCGCCATTGTGAATGAACAAATGACTCAATATCGGTTTCGGCATAATGACTATCACTGGAGGTAGGTCGGATTTGAACACGATAAGGTCGTTGAAAGCAGATAAAACCACCCTCGAAATTGAGGCCTCTTTTGATCACCAACCAGCCCTGGGGCTCTGCATGATGTCCGCCGTAGAACCGCCTTTAACACATCAACAGCCAAAAGCCTAACTGTAGACATTATGTGACAACCTAATACTCGTCCATATCGCAAGAAGCCAGAAGTAACACGAACGAGTGGTTATGGAAGGGCGAGACAACGAATTCAGGTGAAGCTGAGGGGATAAGTCGGCCGTGACATGGTAGCGGTTCCATAATTATTAGTGAGTGTAGTTAATAGTCAATCTGCCTAGTAAGCAATCACGCCAAAATCCTACTTTGGCATGAGGTAGGCAAAAGAGCTCACCTTCATATCCGGTGCTTTGATATTAGTGTAGGTAGATTTTAAGGCTTCCTTAATACGACTGCGTTTGGCCTTGTAATTGAAGCAGAGAACAGCAAGTACGAGAGAGAAGATGAGGAGAAAGAGGAGGACAATTCCAGCCGCTATGAGGGCCTGATTTCGGGCACGCGCCATTTTTGCACCCGACATTTTTTCGTACTGCTCCTCGTCCAGGCAGAGATTGGTGTTTTCCATTTTGTAGAGCTCTGGTGGGCATGTTGAGTTGCAGATAAACTGTTTAGTGGAGAGGGAATAAAAGACAATATGAATTTGACTAAGTTTATCGTTGGGTGACATGCTGCTTAATTATCTATCAGTAGTACCGTGGGTCGCTTTGATCATTCATAATACTTTTACCACGACGAGAGCATGAGGCTTTTACTTGTGCCATCTAGGCTACCAATCCATCACCCTTTCTGTGTACCTGTAAAAAGGTGATTATGAAGTTATACCTATTTCATCGTCTCCAGAGGCAACTACAAAGCAGAATGTAGCCACTTTTAGTGACCCATCAGGGTGAAATTACGCCCACATTGTTTTAATGGTTATTACTTAAGGGAAGGCAGCCGGGGCTACGAGTATTCATTAAAAAGTGCTTCAAATATTTGGTAACTATCCTAGCTTTTTTCCTTCCTTTGGTTCTGAAGCAGTTCGAATCGTCCAAATGATGAGCCTCCTTAATTATAAGGATCCAAGAGCACCTCACTGAGGGGCGTAATTAAGGCAAGCATGAAAAAGAAAGAAAGAAAGCGGAGAAGGAAAGAGCGGTGAGAGTCAAAGCGCACAAAATCGGATGGTAGAAGGAAAAAGTTATAAGAATACCGAGAATAAACAAGCAAAAGTGCGGAATCTTACGAAACACAATGATGGTTTATTCTTCACAGATGATAATCGTAATTCTTATAAAATTGGATGTCGAGATGTCACATAACATGATGGATACTCTTTGAAGGGGAGGAGGAGAAACGAAATAAAAGAGCGGTAGAATTGTTTTTAAATCCAATCCAGTGTCTACATATGGTTGACTCCCAATGAGGCCGGGGGGGGGTACCACATTTATCACCCCTTATGATGGTGGAACTCTGCTTGCCCCACATACAGCTGCTCTTCATTTTCAATACAAATGAACGTACGCAGACACGCGTCTGCTTGTAGTGCAGGTAAAAGGGTAACTTGAAGCCCGAAATCAGCAACACTTTCAGAGAAGGCCGAAATGCTCTGATCTACATCATTACCAGAAAGGGAAGGCGATTTAGAGAAAGAAGGCTGAAATAGAAACAATCGTTGACAATACTGATTGACAAAAGCAGTGAACAAGTCATGACACCTCCTCACTTTACTACTAGGTGACCAATGAGGTGGTGCGAATTCGGTATAACTCGCTACACCACGACTTGTTGTAACTTGTGGGGGGCTTGGAAAATGCCTTCCACTTTTCATTTGCACCATCGTAAAGTGTGCGTGGAAAGACGTGCATTAGTCAGCCAATCAGTTGGTCAGGCCATTGGTTCGCTATCGTTCTCTTTACAGTTGGAACCCTCTTTCAAAGTCAGCTCAACTTAACCCGAGTTAAAAAGATTCTCCTCAAATTTAACGCATAGCGTTTGGAGAGGCTGAGGTAGCGGTTCTAACGCACCCCTTATCGTGGTGTGTCACGATGTGATAGATGCCTCGTGCTAAGGAGAGCCCTCTCCTACCTTTCGTTGTTGACTCGTTAATTTTCTGGTAGCCTGGGCAGCAAAACTTTTAATCATGCCTAGTGTGCATGATGGCGTGACAATGGGTTGACACGTATGACATCAAATGGGAAGGAGAAGGCGTAGTGGAAGCTGTCAAACAAATTGGTGCAACGTGTAGTAACAGGTGAAAAAGACCACCACGTTCTGCTTCACTTCTTTACACCACATATTTTAGATTGTTTACTGGCCACCTGACTGACACCTGATGAAGTGGGTCATGTGTCCCACATTTAAGCAAACCAACACGTCTTTATTTACCTCTACCCTAGTCACGCACTACTACCCGCACACTTTGGAGATACGCCTCACCTCTTCCTCACAGGACTGTGGGTGCTTGTTTACTAGCTGAGGGCTAAACGATCAGACCCGACCTCCTCTTCACGCGATATGATACAGACGAGACGTGCCCGAGAAAAAACTTCCACTTCTACCCTCACAACACGACACAAGACCTCATGACCACATTTGGAAAGAAAGTCACCCGTACTTTAAGATGGGCGAGAGATACCGCCTCATCCTCTGCGTTGCCACTTATTTCCAAAGATCCTGACCATGCATCGACTTCTTCTGGTACTAGACAATCACAGAAACACACGCAAAATAAGCAGTTTGGAAATGGGGTAAGGATGGAGATATCTGGAGCCAGATTTACAAGGCGTTATTTAAAGATGAAATTAACAAACCTGCGGAGCATACACCCACCAAATACCCAAGCAGAAATGACTTGTCAACCGAGCGGAAAGGAGGTGAGATAATGCCGAAATTCTGGAGAATAAATACTACCTTATGAATGAAATGCCCTAAGTGACATCCGCTTTTCAGGCAAGTCTTCTTCTTTAAAGTGATTGGCGTAGCATTGGCATCCGCCGAAAGGTATTGTCGAGACAAAAGAATCCTTCTTATACCCAGTTCGTATCCAATGTTAGTCACATCCCTCCCTCCTTCTTTCCTCCTCCCCCTCTGAGGAATAACCCTTCGTACGTCTTCAACCGATGAGCTAGATGCTAGAACAGATAAAACGGATAGGCGCCTTTTCTTTTCCCGTAGTAAGTATGAAAACCGGTGGAATCAAGATCGAGACTGTGCACACACACACCACCAGTTATAGGGAAAAAAAATTAGTCTAATGGACCAGTTAGGATGTACAGCAAAAAGGGTTTATTTTTATTGCCAATAATATGACAGTTGAATAGCCGAATTGCCTCTTTAAAAAACTATATGTCTGTGTACTTTTACCTCCAACAAATGTAAGGAGCGGCTTTTTTAATTGGACCTCATAAAAGTACGCATCTGTTGTTGTTGCTCCCCCCTTTTTGCCATTGCGCCTTCTTGTGAATGTTCAAATGGAAGCTGTCAACCTCAGATCTTGATGATAAAACGAACTTCAAGGGAAGAAAATTTTCATCATGCGTGTGGGAGGGATAGTAAGAAAAAGGCAATCAACCTTTTGTGTTTTTATTTGCATTGTCTTTTCGACAAAAGCAGTCAAGTCTGAGCATGTATTGTGAGCACACCTGAGTGACAAATTGACTGCTCTGGTGTAGTTAAGTGGCACAGTCACCCTCGCGTAAATTGCCACAATGATAAAGCATCCGTGTTCTCTCACATGAGAGAGAGAGAGCACAAATTCATCAGCATTGACAGGCGTGCCTAAGTAGGGGGTTAGGGGGGGGGGGCTACAGTTCCCTCATAGAGCTGTCCAAGGGAGTTAGAAAGTCCACCTAGAGCCGGAACGGAGAAAAAGGAGTGAAATAACAGAGGGAGAAACCGAGGAAAAAAAATGTGTCTGTGTGTGTTTGGACAACAAGCATTGCCCTGCCCTGGTTTATGAGAGCTTTAAACTCGAATGGATGGCTCCCAGCCCAATGACAGGAGTTTCATTGTTATTATGGAAGAAGTAAAAATTCCCCTTAGGCTTTCTCTAAATAAAGGTGGCCGTTTGTTTTGATTGCCTACAAAGTCACGAGAGAGGAAGATTTTCCCCTTATAACTTCTTGACAAAAGAAAGGGCATATATGAATGACATTGAGGATAGTGAGGAGGACTAAAGATACAATTTGCATGCCAACAAAGGAATTGTAAATACCTCCTCTCCGATACTTAAATCCACTGAGACAGAACAAACCTTATTCGCCTGCACATCAATCATGATTTTGGCATAGCGACAGTTGTTGCAGAACTCCGGTCCGTAGGCCGTACACCCTCCAGCACATTGCTCATGACATCGTAGGCATTCCCGCCTCTCCAACATCTGTTTTTCCCTCTCTGAGAGGTGTTCTGTTGCCGTTGCATTCGGCACATAGGTGTCGTCTAAAAGAAAGGGCACGTTGAAGTAACCCATTCAATTTGACGCATCTCATCACATGAAGGGGCATCTCTTCCCCGGGGGAGCAACTGTCTTGTAATCGTAGGGCCTTAAAAGGTTGACTTGCCAGCCACTTCAAACCTCCTATTCAAAGATTCGAACGGCCCACCAAAGTGGTGAGAGAAAGGGATGATGTTAAAAATTATAGGTACGTGAAAGTTTGACGTGTAATGGGTGGTTTAATTGGTGCGTTGAAGTACAAAACACACCCTTTTGTCAGTCAGTAATCAAATTGTGATGTTGCCTTTGTGAATGCAGACGCATCAACGGTGGCATCTTACCCAGGGGTGAACGTGTGGCAAGTACAACTTGGCATCTTCTCCTCTCTATTTTTTTACATGCCAAGGCTTCAAGCCATTTGTCAACTTATTACTTCTTATTAAAGAGGGGGAACCACTCTCATCTAGGCAGTAGGAGAAGATTGACACCTGATTTGTGATAATTAAACATTTTCTAACATATTCTTTTTATTTAAGAAAACATTACGGAGGTAAATCGGACCAGCGTTATGTTAACTATCTCCTCCGGAATTATTCGGAGTATTCACACAAGTAGTTAATTACACCGGTACTTCTGTCCACACTGTTAGTGCTACCGTCTTGAGGCATAGCGATACCTCACACCTACGACCCCTGAGGACCTCTCTCTTTGTACAGCAACAGTAAAACCTCCTTCTAAATAAGCATGCTTATTACTGTGCTGTCCAAAAGAACACCTTGGATGATAGGAGAATGTCCATCATCGAAAAGGCGTGATGGTCACGTGAAGAAGTAAGTAGTGTCCACTCTGCGCCTCCGGAAGTTGAAAAGAATTTAGATAGAGGGATGGCTGAGAAACCTTAAAATGAGAACAAGGCGGTAAGGAGGAAGAGACGCGGGGTATCAACTTCAGGAAAGTGGTGCATGAAATGCGCTCGTTAAAGAGCAACGGAGTCGGTAATTTGAGTCCTCTTTCCAAAGTATCTCACGAAGAGAAAGATGAAAAAAGGGATGCAATGAAATAGCCCAAATGCACCAAAGTTACCTCACCTCTATTTGGAATTAGTGACTAAGTTGTGACGACCAACTACGGTGCTCAAAAGAAGGCGACTGTGTAATGCCATTTTTGAGTTATTTAACGATACAATTGATTGTACGAGCTCCTCAAGCTCCGCGGTTTGAACTTCCGCTTTGGACACACCTATAGCCTCCTAGCCAATCCTCCACACCGATAATGTGCTACTATGGCTTCGGGGGAGAATAGAGGCGCTAAGATATTGTCATGCCCAGTCACAAAAAAGATTGCTACATGAAAATTTTAAACGTGCCATGCTAACAGTTTAAATGCGT